AGAGACAGAGACAGAGAGACAGAGAGAGAGATAGAGAGAGAGACAGAGAGAGAGAGACAGAGACAGAGAGGCAGAGTCCCACTGTGCCCTGGTAAAGTTGGGCTCCAGCAATTCTCCTGTCTCAGCCTCCTGGGCTGTGACTATAGCGTGTGCCACCATGCCCAGCTACCCGGCTAGTTTTTCTGTTTTTAGTAGAGACAGGGTCTCACTTTTGCTCAGGCTGATCTCTGACTCCTGAACGCAATCAATCCTCCTGAACTCAAGCAATCCTCCCACCTCGGCCTCCCATGGCAAACATGAGCCACCGCTTCTGGCCAAAACTCACAGACTACAACAGCCCTGCAAAGTAGTTGGGTGCTATTATAATTATTCATCTCTTATCGGTGTGAAAACTGAGTCACTTGCCAACAGCATAATAAAATGAAGAGCCAGGATTTAACCCGGGCAGTCTAGAGGCTGAGTCTATGGTTTTAATCAGTACATTGCCTTCCTCCTGAGCCCCGCACCCACATACCACACGTCTCAGAGTGTGGCAGTGCAGGCCTGGTGTTGGCTGACTTTAATTTCAATTTCTTAGCCCCGAATAATAAAGACCAAAATGAGGCAGTGACTGATTTGGTCTAATTTAAACTCCGAGGCACGTACGGGCAAAATTGCTCCCTTTACCTGAGTCAGCAATATGTTTTGAGGATTGACCATACCTTTCTGAGAGCTACAATTATAAGAGAGAACATATTAAATTTAATGGGATAAATCACCGATAGCACTTGGCACATGACAGAGCTCACTGCACAGCAGCTATTAATACCCTTACTGGTCTCTGATCTGCCCAGGTCCCTTCCCAGGAAGCCCAGCCCGGCACGGGTCATCCCTGCCATCGCTATAGCAGCATCTCTTAGGGTCCTCCCCACTCAGCCCAGGCTCCACCTGGCGCCAGCCCTCCCCGGACGCCTCTGCAATGATGTCTCCCTCCTCCGAGGGAGGGTCACGCTTCCTGATTCTGTTGTACCCAGACACGGCCCCATGACTTGTTCTGGCCAGTGAAATGTGAGCGAAACTGTGATTCAATCCCAGTGGCAATTGTTAAAACCCGGCATGTGCCTGCTACCATAGCCAGTGACGGTCTAGCAGGTGGCTGTTCTTTATGCTGAGTTCTGGAATAAGGGGTGCAGAGGACCCAACAACCCTCACAGAGATGTAAAATAGGCCGTGAACCTTCACCGTTGTGAGCCATTGAGATCTCAGACTTGTCCGAGAGCATAAACCCAGCCTCATCTGACTGCTACATGTTTTGTGAACCTCTTAGCGGATAGGACCGAAGCCCCTCATGTGCCCACAAGGCCTTGCAGAGTCTGCCCTTCATATCATTTCCTCCTCTTCATCCAAACAGGCCCTCACAGACGCTGACCTCCCTTCAACTCAGGCTTTTTGTACGTGTTCTTTCCTGCCCACCCGTCTTCCTTCTTTCTTTGCCTGATTTCTGGCTGTGACACTCGCCTCATCAGGCTTTAACAGCCCGCACTCATCACGACTACACACTCACCACCTGGCTGTGTTCCGTGCATGATGCTTACTAGGTCCACTGGGCTGTCTACTGTGTAGGAGCAGATGCCCGGTCCTTATTCACGTCCTATCCCGAGCCCTGGCATAGTCTCTGGCACACAGTGGACACTCGGCAGCTCTTTACTGAATGTGGACTCGACAGCACAGTGAAGACAGAATGGAGGCTGAAGGCAGACGTCTTGAATTCAAACCCACTCTGCCAATTATTCACGGTATGACTTTGGGTAAGTTATTTACTCTCTCTCTGTCTTCAGTTTCCTCATCTCTAACAGGGGAACACATATAGCCCTTATCTCATGGGGTGCCTGTGAGCTGCTTACGTACTCACTGTCGGTCTCCAAGTTCACCCTTCTAGCCTCTGCTCTGTGGGGCTGGGGCTGGTATTTTCCTCATTGCATTTTCCAGATCTTCTTGCTAGACGGCTACCGTTGTTGGGTCCAGCCAATGAGAGACCCCAGCAGGAGCTGGGAGGAAGAGGAAGTATGCCGGGCCTTCTTTCCTGTTTCAGTTCCTGTCTGCACTGTGGCCAGAGAGCAGAGGACACCTGCACCAGCAGCCTCCAGCTCCTCCCCACACTGGCCACGTCCCGCCTCCTTGGAAGTGCTCATGTGTTAACTTCATCTCCCTTGGCAGTGTCAACACCAGTGCTCCATGTCCTCTCAGAGGGCTAGCTGAGCACCACCCAGGTGGCGTCCCCACCCTCATGGTGATGCCCTTCAAAAGAGATCAAATGTCAGCTGTGTGATGTCTGCGGTGTCCCCGCTCCTGGGCCTAAGTTCTGGCAGCACAACCTTTCCTTTGCTTTCCCCTGCTCCAGAGGTGGCGGCTGCATCCCAGTGTCCAGGCTACGTTAGGGGCCCTGCTGGAAACCTCCTAGGTGGGCCCTACCCGGTACAATAGACGAGGCCCTTAAAACAGCATCAGGCACGTAGTAAGGCCAATGTGAGTGTGAAGTCCTGGATTTGTTCAAGTAGCAAACAAACAAACAAACAAACAAAACAAAAAAAAAAACACTGCCCATGAGAACACCGTGAAGGATGCTCTGTGCCTGCCAGAATTCGTGGGACACAAGACCATCTTCTGGGGGAACTTCCACCCCACACCCGTAAGAACTGTTCAACCACCTGGGCCTGATGTAAAGCAAATGATGACGCGGCCTCCGTAGCATTAGCAATTTTTTTATTTTTCCTTTTCTGTTGCATAGGAAATGCAGTACTTGCTTCCAGTAATTGTATTGTAATGTGAGAAGGTGGTAGCGCTAATGGTTGAATACAAGAGTTAAACTAATCCACACCAGCTCAAAAAACCTGTGGAGATTTAGTTGAATAAGAATGGACGCCCACAGTGATTCTCAACCAATTACAAATTTTCACAGAACACAGTAAAACTAAAAGAGTAACTATGAGAGTCAGTACAAGTATACTAGAGGCACGGGGGCCCGGCTCATAAAAACAAACTTCAGATCACGCTATTAACACGGGGCTGTCGAGTTTCACAACAGATCTCTTACCATGACTGGAAGTGTTCAGTCCCCTGCCCCCACCATTTGAAATGAAAAATGGAAGTATTTAGAGTGGACAGATTTTCACGTGTGGTGGGAAAAGTCCCCCGGAACTTTATTCTGGTGAGAGGTCAGGGCTGAGGGCTGGGTGGGGGACCATGTGTTTACCTTTGGGAGTCTTTCTAAAGGACCTTCTACAACAGCGGTTCTCAACCTGTGGGTTGCGACCCCTTTTTAACAATGAAAATCCATTGTGGCATCAGGAAGGTTGAGAACCACTGTTCTAGAACCTAGTAAAGCCCCTACTGTGGGTTTAGTCGGTATCTCAGTGGTGAGGCGACCAAACGCCTTTGCAGCACAGAGATGACAGTCTGAGACCAGGGGGAGGGGACGGAGCTGGCAGCTCCCTCACATCCCCATCCCAGCAGACCTAGAGGCCTATGACCTTACGCTGAAGTGTTAAAAAAACAAAATTAAAAAAAAAAACCCAAACCCCAAAAGGCTAATTTACAGACGATTACCAAAAATAAAAAAAAAAATTAATAATAAAAAGATAAACAGAAATTAAAAAAATAAGAATAAAGGAAAAAGAAAACTTTTGTAATTTTAAGAAGTTGAGTATAAAACAGCAGGAAAAATGGCCCAATATTTTGGCCGTTCCTCGTCCTTGAAACCACTGCAGATCCAGGAAGTTCCCATTGTCTGGCATGGCGGGCGCTCTCCACCGGGCAGGAGCTCTGGTCAGGTTAGAGGTAGCACTTCCACTGAACACTCTGGTGGTTCAGACACATTTTGGAAGTTTTGTTTTTTGAATCAAATAGCCTGATGAATCCGTGTGTGAAATGTGGGGTGCCTGGCACACAGCTGGGGGGCCACCCCCACCTGCCTCCCTGCTCTCCCGCCCGCTGTGGGTGGGCCCCCTCCCCTTTCTGAGCACCTCCAGCACCTGCTGCTCACACTCCATCCTCCTCCTCGAGATAATGTGACCCTCTGGGGGAATAAAGGGCAGATGGGTGCTGGCTTATGGGGAAAAATGAGATGAAATTTATTTAATTTGGGAAGAAAGTAGTTTAGCATTGAGGCCAAAAGGAGTATATTAAAAAATCCCGTGTTAATAGCTACCTTTTTTCTTATGAATCGGGCCCAAAATTTGTACAGAGTTTTATTTCTGAAGAAAATATTGCAACTGTGCATGAAACTAAATAGCCACGTGGTTTCTTTTTTTTTTTTTTTTCCTTTTTCTTTTAATATGAGGAGGTCTGGTGTGAAGACGGACCAAGCATGGGTACCTGGCTGAACCTTGTCCATTAAGAAACAGTCCAGTTTCAGCACGGCTTCAGTCGAGGGTCAAGGGAAAGATCCCTCACATGGAAATGTTCTCAGAGTGTCTTCGTAACAGAGTTCTTGACATTCAAAGGGTAGTTTTGAGACAAAAATCTCACCAGGTACTGATTTCTGAAATCAAACACCCATGCTTGTCCCCTAGGAAAAAGAAAACGAAAAAACAAAAAACGAAAACAAAACACAAGTAATACTGAATTTAAGTCAATGTATACCTCCAAAATACTGAAAACAGCTGAAATCAAGAAAAGACAGAATTTGCGTTCTCAGTGAAATACCTTTAAACCTAGCTGACAAGAACCAAGTCAGAAAAAAAGACTAACATAACTCTGAGTACTATTCACACAGTTCACTAGGTATCATGGAGCGGCATGCAGTAATATTGTACGGTTATTTTACATCACCTATACCAGAAGGGCCTGGCAGACAGCGAAGGCTACCGGTGTAGAAAAATCTTACTTCCGAAGAGCAGTATAATACAGATTTCACAGGCACTACATTTTAATATATCAGGTATTATGCTGGTTTTCTTATAATTCTTTCTGTCCTAAAGCTGGCATCATAACAATGACCAAAAAGGCAAGGGTTGAAGTAAACGGAAAGTAGATACCAAAGTTGATACAGTTTTTTTCTTCAGATAGATTAGTGCATAGTTCTCATGCAGATAAAACACTGCTATGCATTTACACTGTTGGGAAGCAGAGTGAATTGAGCCCAAGTTGTCACATTTGTGTAAATCATTTTGTCAGCCTGTAATAGCACCATGTAATGGATTTGCATTAAACATTAAATTGATTTCAAAATTGGTGACACAGTATTCACTACAGTTAAGTGCTATGGAATAGCTTCAATGTTACCTGCTATATATCAAAGCAATTTTCATCCCACTGCTTTTTTTATTGGAAAAAATAAAAGGAAAACATACATGACACTAATTAGACAAATGCACAGCCTTGGACGTGGAGAAGGCAGAGCGGGTTCACTGTCAAACAGTAAGTAACATGCATCGGCTCCAAGACAGGCTTGGCCTTGGAAGCCTATTTCAACGAAAGCTGTGCCGGTGGGCAGTGCAGCTTTCTGAGGCTGTCTGAGGACAGTCTCTGAGGGTGGGTTGTGAGGCGCCACTGAAGCTCTCCTTACATTACCATGCCGGTTGTGACAGATTTGTTCTATGGAGGCCTGCTACTAAAGGAAAAAAGAGAGAAAGAAGGAAAAAGAATGAAAGAGAGAAAGAGCAAAGAACAGCAAAAGAGAGAAAGAGAACAGAGAGAAGCCACCACCACTACGGACAAAGATATTTCCAGAGATGGGATGCTAAGTACATTACACGACATTCTCAGAAACCCTCCCCCCCCCAAATAAATCACAGGGAATAAACCATTTTTCTTAATCCAGGTTTTGTAAATAGTTAATGACACTGTTTACAGTAACTATAATAACTATAGAATTTAAAGTATATGGGGACTAGAGACTTGAAAAAGTGAAAGACAACCTTTTTGAGATGGGTTTTGCATGTGCCCCTGGGCTGACTAACCACTGTGGCTCTGGGAAGTCCTTCACACTTTTGTCAGAAAATGAAGAACACAAGTTTGGGGAAGTGTGACTTGTTGCCCTGCTCAGAGCACACACCTGATGGCAGAGCGGGGGTGGGAGGACTGCCAATGTCACGCCACGGTGTGAAGAAACAGAAACCTCAGAGGACAGGAAAAGGCTTGCTGGGATGCCGGGAGTGGCCTCTGGGAGAGGGCCTCTGCCCGCCAATGGTCAGAAATGGGGGGCTTCGGTGGCAGGGGGAAGGGCCAGAAAGAAAAGTAGATAGAAAAATGGTGAGATTCAGTGTTCGTGCCTCTGACTTCAGTTTCCAAAGAAAAACCAGACTGAGTTATGTGAGGGGCTTATCTTTACCTATCTTGTTAATGCCATTTGACGGAAGAGAAAAAAATTCCAATGTGTTTCAGAATCGAGGTCTGGGCCTTCAAATGCCGATAGCTCTCAGTCTGTCTGTCTACACACCCCAGGTAGCAAAGTCTTCCTTAAACATCTCTGCTAGGCTTTTAATCTAAAAAGCAAAACACTCATACTGTTGGTGTTTCTTTTTTTTCCTGCTTGATCAACAACTGAACTACATTTCCTGCTGCTTTCTGGACAATGAAACATGAATAAAAAAAGGTAACTTAGTGTATTGAATACTTAACCCCTGTTCGTAACACCCTACTCTGCCTCCCTAATGTTTTAAAGCCTTTAAAACATTTCTTTTTCCTGCAAATCTGTTCTGAGTTCCCTAATTTTAGCTTCATCAAACTTAATACAACAAAATACCTTCAAAAATACAGCATACCTGTAACGTCCATTTACAATGGTTTTTCAGTAGACCTATACTTCTCAAGCATAGGAATATGCTATACCATTGAGAGGAAAAAAAAATAACTGTATTTAAATACTTACAAAAAAAAAAAAAGGAAACAGGAAAGTTTTAAACTTAAATCCAGTTCCCAAAGAGGGGCGGGGGTAGGGGGAGGGGGAGAAAAGCAAGTCTAGGAACGCTGCCTTTATGATGAACAATCAGAAACTTCACTAGGCTAATTTGACAGAAATTTTTCCTCATTTAAACAACATTACAAAAGTCCTGCATTATAAAATAGGGTAGAATAAATCAGTGTAATCAATAAAACTATACAACAATACAAATTACATATCTTCTGAGTGGGCAGTTTATCCTCTCTCTTTGCAGTCGTGACAACATGCTCACTAAAAACAACTAAAACTGCCCAAACTATTGCTTAGTTTGTTTTGTTTAAAAAAGGGTGCAATTTTATTGTATATACAACCAATTTACTGGTAATACCTTGGCTTATTCCAAGGTTCTGACAAAATGTTTGTCTAGGCTTTTTTCCCTTCACTGTGAAGCACTGAAAGCTGCTATTTTTTCTTTTTTTTTTTTTTTTTTTTCCTTTTTTTTTTTTTTTTTAGTGCACATATGTCATAATAAAGTAATGCCCAGCTAAGTGCTATAGGGGAAGGCAAAGTATGCTGGCTGGCTAGAGAAGTGACACCATACACTGACAGTCACACCGTGGGACAGAGCCAAACGACTATTCAACCACTTATCAGACACGTATGAAAATCCAAAATGTTTTATTTTATTTTTTTTTCCTTAAATAGAGATAACCAGTAAACAATTTTCAGAACTTGGAAGTTTAAAAACGTGCATATAAAAATGGGCATTATATACTTCTTATTGAATGTGGATTGACTGCGGCCTGCTAAGAAAAATGGGGTGTGGGAGCTGAAGAAAAAGGAAGTTGTCTTTTTTTTTTTTTTTTTTAAGGCTTGCTTGTGAAAGGAACAGTTGTAAAAACAAAATTGCTTGAAGCAGGGTCAGCTTAGTGCTTCACAGTTTGACTGCTTCTCTAAGAGGAGCCCTTCCTGCACGCGTGCACTCAAAAATCACAAAAGTACAAAGACAGACACCTACGACGACTGCGTCGAGTGCAGCACCGACTTTGGTCAAATAAAAAAAAAGGAAAAGAAAAATTAATAATTGCTAAGCTTTTCTACATGATATAAGCAGGTATTGCATATTTTCATATATCTGGGGAGTGGGGGGAAATAAAGGAAGACTCCAAATAAATTGTAAAATGCAGCAACATCCAAAATACTGATATTCTAAGCATCTACCGATCTCAGAATAGCACTGCCACCGACCGTACAGGACAATAAAGACTACTCCTATCTGCGGAACAGCTAACTTCCTACTGAGTTCTAGGTGTTGAAACTGACGATGGCTGACATAAAAGTCACATTTACAAAAAGTGTCTCCAAATGCTTGATGAGGGAAAACCCCTTTCAATAGAGGAGCATCATGTGCAACAATTCCACAAATAATCGCTATCCAGGGCAAGGCACATTGATATGGAATTTTTGTTTTCGTGCAAATTAAGGAAAAAAAACAAAACAAAACAACATTGTTTCGGGGTGGGGGGGGAAGATGGGGAGCAAAGTGTCTTCCCAAGAATTTCAGTTACTTGATTGTACAGGACAGTAGTAGAGCCCTTCTGAAGGGCTGAAAAACATAGTTTAAAGGCAAGTGCCTAGAATAGGGATTACAATATTGTGTCTTAATGCACTCTACTTTATCCTACATTAACTATATAAAAATTAGTTACTAACACTAGAACATGCAGAGACTCTCTGATCAGCAGGGCCTGCCGACCAGAACGTATATATATGTATAGTTTAGGGAACCTTCTTGAAGTGGCATGGGAAGCTAAGGGGTGCTTCGCTGTCTGGTAGAAAAATTACTTGCACTTTTTTTTGTTTTTGTTTCTGTGGGGTTTTTTGTTGTTTTTTTGTTTTTTGTTGTTTTTTTACATAAGATACAGGATGTTTGGGGGTGCAAACTGTTTTTTTTTTTTTTCCCTAACGAGTACCCTTGATCTGAATGGGCACCAGCATTTATGTCGGTGCTGGTTTGGTTACTGTTGTTATTATTTGTTTTTTCCCGTAGCCCAGTTCAGGGACGCAAAGGTCTTTAAAACTTCTGGACAATCTCTGGTACAATGAGGTGTCTGATAACTGATAAATCCTATGTTGCCAGATACATGTAAAAATTTTCAGAATTGGCATAATCCATGATAGTGACTTCTAGCTTATAAAATTAACAGATACCATGATTTCATTTTAGTTATGTGCTTTGATAACAGAAAATAATTAATTAGCATTTAATGTAGTTAACATATTGTGGTAAAAGCACCATTAGATTTGTTTTTTTGTTTTTTTTTTTTTAAATTTTCCTTCAGTTTTCAAAGGGATACAAGTTTAATAATAAAAAACATAAAAAGCAAAAATAGCTCCCCTTTTTCTTGCAAGGCTGTTTTTTACCCCAATAATTTAGAGTCCTGGGGTGAAAGGACTTGAAAAACAAAAATAGAATTTTCAACAATCTCTATCTTACAAAGATATTTAGCTATCCAATGAAATTGCACTTTACTCAATTCAAAATTCGATTGTTTTGATTGATTCCTGTCAGTTTCTGTCAAAACAGACCATCTTCCCCATTTCCATGTGAATTTTGTGTCATTGTTGAAATTGTTGAAAAAATGTTTTGTTTTTTTTTTTTTAAATGTTAAGTGCAGCATTTCAAAACTTTTACAAAACTGAATAGTAGTAGTAGTAGTTTGCCATTTTCGGAATTGTTCTGCAATGTGGGTGGATTCGTTGTCCTTGCGGGCCATGTTATATACTTAACTGCTGACTGCTGAACCAAACCAAACTAAAAGAAAAAATAAAAAAGGAACATAAACGGCATTTCTTTTTCCAATATGTTACAGAAAAACATTGCCCTTTGACCGTCCCGTAAGTTATATATTGCAGATCTCAGCTACTACAAAAGATTTAGTTCTCCATGTGTCCCCTGAATGGCCAAGGAGGATCACACCTGCGTGGGTAAATTCATGAAATACTGTGAAACAGCCGGGCTCCATAAGGAAAGTGTGTTACGACAGGGAGTCAGTGAGCAAGGGTAGTCTTCCGCTAGCCAGGTCACCTAATGCTCATGCTACCACAGAAACACTTCAAATGTTACAAAGCCCGACCATTTCCAGCACCATATGAGAAATTACAACAGTCCCTAAAGTATTTAAAAAAAAAAAATCCCAAAAGGTTATGGCCTTTGCTGTTTGACCATAATGCTCTCTGTTTCCATGTACAAGTTGATCTGAATCGGTGTATGTCCCCTTCCGCTGACAGTGAAGTTGTAACTGCGCTGGGTGGAGGTTGCGTCCGTGTTACAGAGTTGAGAAGGGGTCAGGTGGTCTGTCTGGTGGATGGTGGGACACTGCAACTTTTATCCCAGGTACCAGGACTGGAAAACAAAAGCACAAGTACAATCAGAAGGACAGTTTGTAAAGCAGCCTATTTTAGAAGCGGCCTTTCCGATTATGACACTGGGGTCTGTGGTGGAGGTGAGGAAAAGTAAAGGGACGATGATAATAGCAAGTCCTGAGGCCACTGAACGACCCTGCTCCCCCAACGGAAGGTGCTTGTCTTCCCGGGTTCACCAGTGCTCTGAGTGTGTCCTACACAACCAGGGGTTCTATCCTCTTGAAATGCAAACACAGGTCTTGCATTCTGGTGGGGGCAGGTACAGGAGGCCAGGACGTCCTGCTTGCCCTCCTGTCCTCAGTGCCCAGCCAGTGCCTGGAATGTACGGTGCTCCCAATGAGGAAGAGCTGAAGGAACGGAGAGGTTTCACGTGGCACCGAATGGCTACCCTAGCGATTTTCACATCTCCTTTTAAATGAGGGCCAGGCACACAGATGTGATCATGGCGCTCTTTTTAACAGGCACAGATGGTCAGTAGTGATGTAAGTATAGGCAGAGGGGGAACAGTGCTGTCTGGGCCCTCCTGGATAATTCTGGGCAAGTCACGTTCCCTTGCATGCTATTTCTTTGTATGTGGGGTATTTCTAAAGCAACATTTTCAAAAATGACATGTAACACTCAAGCAGTATTAACAGTTTACGCATTGACTACCATGCTGTTTGACGGGAAAATGAGGCCCCTGCATACCCCTCATTCATGCAACATTTATTTAGCACCTTTTGTGTGCCTGCCTGTTGGGCCCAGTTATTTGGTCATCTTTTACTTACAAAATCTGCAGCGGCAAGTGCCCGGTCATAGGTCACTTTACCTGCTGGCATTTCTTTTTCTGCTAGCTAAACAAACCGACCAATTATGGGGCAATATCAACAGTTAGTTTCTCCAGTCAAATAAAAAAGTATATGGCTTTTGCCACTTTTTCTCTAGAGAAATCCTGATAAATTCACTACATTTATCATTATTCACAGAAAAACAGTCGACTTGTAGCAAAAGTGACAGCATCAGAAAGAGCTGCGTTTGGTTTGATTCAGTCGAGGGAGGGCCCATTCCTGTTCAAAAGTTTCAATTGGGTAAAGTAAGGGCTCACGGGGTCCCCAGGGATAAATGGCCAAATGACAGCTACCTGGAGGCTGGTTTAGGATCTCCTGGTCATATAAGCCACCTTTGATTTCCACGGGAGTTTAAAAAACCCAAGCCTAAACCAAAAAACTACTCATCCTGTGTACTTTCAGATGTTACTCTTTGACACACACACTGAGGAGCACAATGGAGCCTCTTGTGTCCTGAAAGGAAACCATCCTGGCAAATGCACATGGCCTAAATCTAACTGGACAAAAGAGAGCCAAGAGAAAGGAAGGACAGGGCAGGCAGCGCCGGGAGCTTTCTGCAGGCCTCTCCTGAGGGCCGACTCTGGTCCACGTTAGTGCCACTTCCTCTCCCACGAATCCGGGTGAGGGGAATACTGCTTACAGAGTCTGTGTCCACACTTTCTAAGTCAGTTGTGAAATCCCGGACTCCTGAAATCCCACACTGCGGTGGTTCTTGAAGCAAAGGCCTGGGACCCCGCAAGTCAGCAGGGGGAGCAGTTCTCCACACCACGGCTTCTGGATAAGACCTCAGGGCACCACAAAAATCTGCCCTGCCTCTGCACTTCCTCAAAAAGCAAAGCGAAGAAAAAGAAAGTTTCTTCACACATCTTGCTATTCAGTATGTGCCTTGCCGACAAGGTTACCCAGATCAGCTCTGTAATCCTTCACTGAAATAGGCTTTATTGATTGCTCTGGTCTATTGTTCTCCTTTCAAGCCCCCCAAGTTCAAGTTCATCCTGGTGTTACATCATGTCTGGTTGCTCTTAGCAACCAGACAGACCCAGACGTGACTATCATTAGCAAGAAACCCTCTGCTCTCCTCCCACCAACCTGCCAGTGGTTCTGACGTAGCAGGCCCACAGCAAACACATTGAAGTATTTATTCTGCCTAATTTATGACCTACACAGCAAGCGAGACCCCCACTCCAAAAACCAACACTGTTGTATATTTAATTAATCTGTCTTTCTCTAGCACTTGGGAAAGTTAGACAAAGGACTAATTATTGTGTTTCACTCTCTACACTTTTCTTTTGGGGGGTGAATATTTGCATGGGAAAGAAGACTACAGGCCCAGCACTGCCCCCCCCCCCTTTTCTTTTTGCCCTATTGACATTTCATGAAATACTTTAGCTGCTTAAGGGAATTAGAAAAAAAATGCAATGTGAATGTTACTCCTTCTGAGTTGGTATTCAGCAACACAAATCAACTCATGACATGTTTAAATTTAAATGCTAACCACACACTCTCAGAGTTACTTTAAAGGTTAGTTTTTAATCAATAGAAGTTGCTGACTCTGGGTTTCTGAGCTGCACACTGCAACTCTCCGGCTTTTGTCTAACGTTAAAGCTTTGGAACTTTTTTTTTTTCCTTGAGATGATTTTAGCAATGATTTGCAGACACAGAAGGCTATTGTACTCTGACCAGCAACATTTCAATAGAGGGGCAGAGCTGTCCTGTGGTGGGGTGTCAATACGACTCCTGAAGGTAGAGGTTGGGGGTCTTTAATAACCCGTGAAAAAACCTTAATTAACCCTTTCAGGCCCAAACCAAAACCTATTCTTAAACTTTTTCACTCCTATAATTTGACCATTAGTACTTATTTCAACATCACACTAATCTTCATGACAATTAACCCGGCTACTTGACCAAGGGTTTCCAGAACGGCAAGTTGGGTTAGGGGAAACCACACAGGAAACTTTTTTTGAATGAATGACATCTCTAAGATGAAACCATTTACTTGCAGAGATGGTAAACAGCTCCGATAATAATAATTTTTAAAATCAACCATTTTGCTAAATGTTCTCATGACCAGTTTGTGGCCGAAGATGCCCATAATTCTGGCCTGAGGAGTGTGGTAACAACACAAGTGGTAGCCCACAGATTTCTAGAAATTTCCATCAACTGCTAATAATACCAGATGGAGGAGATAACATTTGGAAACACCCGTCTTTCTCTTGTGATCTCTTCTTATAATTTCTATTAGGCAAGCAGTGCAAGTTTCAAAACATTAATTGAAGAATGATTCTGCATTTTTCCTTCGCGGGCCATATAAGAAAAACACAGAAGAAATTTGAGATTATTAAACTGTTGGGATTGAACAGCGAATCACTTGGGATAATGTTGACACATTAAACAGAAATCTATTTACACAGAGTCAGAAAACTGTCTTCAGATACTTACTGACATAATCTCAGGTTTCACAGTTTCTTCCCTCATGACTTATCGCCCCTTAATCTAACCTACTGTATCCAGATGGACTACAAAGGAATCCCTGTCCTGGGTCTGCAGTGGGCGGCACCATCACACCACAGTGTAAGGTGATGTTATCTGGAGGCTTTACATTAAGGAAGTAAACAGAGAGCTTTGATCTACTTTTCGTCAGGAACTTTCAGTTATAGTTGGTCTGGAGGTCCATAAACCCACACTCCCACAAAGGCTCCAGTTGCATAAAATTAGTCAGTTATATTCTCAACGGTCTAAAGTTTGGGATGTGCTGGTGGGGGTGGGGGGCCACGGGTAATTGTCCTCTTTCGGTATTCAAGGTGAAACATCAAAAGAAGTCTGCAGTCCAGCAGCAGAGCTCAGCTTCCCTTTCTCCCGTCAAATGAAGAAGTAATCTCATCAGGTTGGAAAGTGCTGACTAAGGATTTAATAACGTGCCCGCAGATGTGGGTCTCCAAGGTATTCAACTCATGTAATGCAAAACAGCTCCACACTGCATGCGCTTATAAAATTTCATTTAACCATTGCAACACAACTTTTCTTTCCCTCTCACAGTTCTCTAAGGAGTTTTATCACACTTCCTGCCCCTTAATTTACAGCTCCATGAAAGTTAGAGTCCAATTCTGGTGGGATGCTGGAATACTCACAGTAGTCAGGTTTTATGAACCATAAACAATACCTATCCGACTGTGTCCTGAACAGGGGGCCAGAAAAGGCAGCAGGTACCTCTCGGGGTGCCAAGGTCTCCTTCTCATGCTTCAGGGACAGCACTTGGAAAGCAGAGGCCACCCTCTGAAACCTGATCCCGAGGCTGCTGACAGGTTGATAAAAGCAGGGACCCAACTGCCTGGTTCACAGCAATCGTCCCAATACATAGAACTAGTTTTTAAAACAAGCCTGTCCTCTTTTCACTAAGCAGGCAGGATGCACATTTTAAAAAGAAAAAGAAAAATGTTTGTCTGAGATAGTTGTATTTTACTTTAGCCCAAAAAAGGAGGAGAAGATCCCGGGTGGGAAGCAGGGAGGGCAGAACAGATTGACCGCAACAGAATCTGTTTTTCAAATTAAAAAGTTAAACAAAAGGCCTCAAGGGCAAAGTTTAACACTGCGGAAGGAGGCTGTTAATGTGGAATCCAGAACTGGGTGTGACACTTGGCTTCTTCTCCCGGCCAGGTGGGTTACTTAAGGACACTCACACACAGAAAGTGGGAATAGGCAAGTACAGGGGCCTCCCACCCGCACTGCCCAACCCTTCAGCCCCCCCAGAGGACTCGCCAGCCCTGCAGTGCCAGAGCGGCCGCCACCATCCTGGGTCCTCTCTTGAGGAGATGTTACCTCTGCTGGGTCACACTAATCTGGTCAGTCCTTTTCGGCTTCCTGCTCTTGTTTGGGTGAATTAAAGTCCACCGTTTGGCCAAAATGAATAGTCCTTGGTAAGTTAGCCAACGGCTGGTATCCCCTTTCCCCCATTCTTACACAACAGAAGGGCAGGGGTCTGAGCAGACCTCTCATTTGGCCGTCAGTGGAGACCAGGTGGGAGTGTTTATTCCCTCCCTCCTCCAGTGAGCGCCAGGGCACCAGGCGTGCCAGGTTCTAGGTGTACAGAGAGTGAGTTGCACGGTGCCCCTGCCCTGAAGGAAGAAGGGGCTGGAGTTTAGACTTCTGCACCCTT